TCAATTTCCATCCCCCAGAAATTACTCTCACTGTAATTGCAATATGGAAGCTATGTAAAAGTCAAATTCTTTTGGAAAATAATCAGCTTTCATGAATACACTTAAGATGATGATGATTTCTGCTTTGGCATTTCCTAGCTGCGGAATCCTATGAGGTATGATCTTTAAAACATAATGCTTTCAGGCTCTGCCTTATCTACAAAATAACAGGAGCAGGGTATAGTCCCTCCCATCCTGCCCCCCAGGGTGGGGTGGGTGTTGCAGGCATTCAGAGCTAGCATGCTCAAGACAAGTGTGTGCCACTCTCCCATAGGAGTAAGTAGATCTCTCCCTTCCTCTGACGGATTGCTTACATCTGCAGTAATGATCTTTGACTAAGCAATAAAGATGTGGCTTTGGATCCTAGGCAGTAACTGCACTGCCAGAGCAAGGAAATCAACATCTTGCCCAGGACACTCATTCCAAAATAGCTACTTCCATGCTTACACTCTGCTCTGAACTCATTCTCCCTCAGGTTTCCAAGGTAGGAGCTGCTGCCAAGAAAAGCTGAACAAGGAAGCCTTAGGGAGAATGTATAAGTGAAGCATACAAGAAGTCCATCCTTGGAATGACCTGGCTGCCTGCAATGCAGATGTGGATCATCAAAAAGGCAGTACTGTGGTTGAAAAAGCAGTAGCTGAAGGGTTCTATGTCAACGTGGCGGTGCTCTAAGTTTTAATGTGAACTTGAAAGGAACTGTCCATGGTACTGAACCCCCAAATCGCTTCAGTGCCTTGGACAACTTCTTCAAAATTCAGACTAAACCTAGACCAGATTTGCCTCCCCAATGTCAAGGTGCGGGAGACAGGGATCTTTCTGTATATGTGAGACACAAACAGCCAGACTATCATAAGCCATATGGAGCAGTAAAGTAGCAAATAGTCCCCCACAACACCTATGTGAGTCAAAGGCTCAAATCCAGATGTTAATCTAATCTAGAGCAACTCAATGAATGGATGGGAACCATTGTTTCAACTGATCTGTATTCTATTTTGAAATAACAATAAGGTACATACTACCTAAGACAACCTAAGTATCTTAAACTCACTAGATAGAAGACATACAACTTTGGCATAGGAATGCGAAAAGATGAATAAAGTAAACAATTCAGAGTTCACTAACTTTTCATAACATCCCTATTCTGCTGCCTGAGGCAGATGCCCCACCTTGTTAATAGTAAAGCTGGCCCTGACCTGAAAGATCACGTGCTGGAAGTGACATTGTGTTTCAAATACCACTGCCTGGTATTCCTTGCAACAACTCTGTAAAACAAGTCAGCACTAGTATCCTAATAATAATTGCTCATTACTAATCTCAATAATTATTGCGAGTGCTTTAGCTGCACTCCTCCTGGTAATTCATGGCTGAAGTGAGACTTGAACTAAAGATTTCATTCACAGCTTCTAAATGATATGATCTACATTTTGCTGCATAACTTGCAACAAAACATCTGAAGATTTAGTATATGTACACCATAAGAGCAATTCACAAGATTAATGAGCCTTGACTGACAGCTTTACCACAGAATCACATTACAAACTCTGCTCCTATAGAAGAGGTATGTGTATGCGCCTTTGTGTTACTTGTCAACTTATTGTGACCACATGGATTTCACAGGGTTTTGTTTAGGCGAGGTGGTTTTTGCCAGTTCCTTCCTCTGAATTACAGCCTGCAGCATCTGGCATTCACTGGCAATTTCCCATTGAAACATGAAGCCGATCCAACCCTACTTAGCTTCCAAGATCAGATGGGATCTGGTGCCTTTAGGGTATTTAAGCAATATCACCCATTATATTGGTTCAGCTGGCTTTTGCCATCCTTCTGTTGTGTTTGGTGAATTTTAACATTAAACTCTCTCTTCTTTCTGCATTTGCTGTGATTGTATTATCATGTTTCAAACCAATGGCCAATGTGTAAATGAATGAATGACTAAATGAAAAATATGTGAGTTCCAATCCTCCCTCTCAAACCCTCTCTGCTATGACTGGAATGATGTAGAGAATTAGCCTGATCTTGCATTGTAGGTGGAGGTAGGACAACTTTTTTTTGGGCATATTTGCCTGGAATTAGTTTCATTTCATTTCATTTTTTAAAAATTATAAATCATCCTCAATTCCCAAATCTTCTAAGGGAAATAGACCCAATTTTAGAAAAAGGCCAAGAACTTGAGAATTAAAACAAAACTATAACATAAGAGGCGGAAAGACTATTCAATCCACAAATTAAACATATTTTTAAAATAAATATAAAATGCACCAGTAAAAAGGAACATTTTGGGCCTAAAAAGAAAAGCTTCCCCATAAAATAAGTACCTATAGCAAACAACTGCTACAGAATGAACAAGCAAGTCTATCAACCAGGGAGAAGTATGACAAAGCAGTTCAGAGATGGAGAATTTGAAAGCACATGCAAAATTGTGGCTATGGGACTAAAGTCTGTTTAGTTATCCACCACATTCACTAACAATAGACTAAAATGATGGCAGGGCTAGTCCTACCATTAAGCAGAGCAAAGCAATTGCCTATGGTTGCAGATATGGGGAATGGCAGTAGTATCTTTTGAGCTTCCAGGCCTATTTCCTCCTTTGGGGGACATTTATATGTATGGCAGTCAGCCAGCACTGCTCTCCCTGCAAATTTGGCTGCTATTATTCAACATAGCAGACAACCTTTTCCCATTCACAGTGTCCAAGTAGTTTTCTGCTTTCAATCTGGTCTGTTTCAGAATGAGTGGTGAATATTACCCTATGCATCAAGCAGCAAAATGTCTTGTGGATGTACAAATAAAAGAAGTATAAATCTGCATTTCTGTTTCTGCAGAACAGATATCTTAACAATCTAATTTAGAAAGCAAAGAGGGGCCTTTTTTATTTTGTTTCCACTATAAAGTTATATAATAGGTTATGCTTCTGAAGCAATGATGCAGGCATTGCGTGACAATATTTGAAATCATACTCAAGTTAGAAAAATCTGAAAAACTGTCAGTCTGGAGAACAGAGAAGCCCCTGTGAATCTATAGCCTATATCTAATTGCTGTTCCCAATTACAGTAAACCAGCCGAATCAATGGAACATACATAAGGTTTGATTTACTAAATTCCCATTTATTTAATGGATCTACTGTAATTGAGACAAGCAATTGGATATAGGCCTATATATATCAGCCTGCTCAAACCAAGTCAAGGTGCATAAAAATATTTTAAGAAGAAATATTTAGTGAGTTAATAACCGAAAGACTGAACAAATTTGCTTCATTGCGCCTGGGAAGCAGCCCATATTTTTTGGCCTTGCTGTTTATAAGGTGATGTCACAGGCTGTCAGACGATACCAGCAGCGAAGGCAGCAATATGTTGCTGGGAAGAGAATGTCAAGGTTGAATTGTTCCAAGAATGCTTAAACCGATTCCCATTCTGTGGCACTGCATCAAAATGGCCTTGCAAGAAGTGCAGATTTACTATACTAGCCAAAAAACCGGCTGGATCTACACTGACATATAATGTAGTTTGAACTGTGCATTATATGGTCAGTGCAGACACACATAATGCAGTTCAATGCAGTTCAGACTATATTATATGGGTTAACACTGACCATATATTTGGAAGTATAGATCCAGCCAAAGAAACACGACAGCATGAACATGCTGTGGAGTAAGGCAGGGCAAAAACAAGTGAAATGAAATAATATTTAGGGTGCAGATATCTTCAGAAAGCCACCAGAGGATGAGAATGGAACAATCCTAGAGCATATATTTTGTATGCAAACACAGAACCCCATATCTGGAGTAATCACATTTTACAAATGACACAAACTAGCCAGTGAATATTGCAGCCTTTGTATTGCAGCCTTTGTTTTGTCGTCAGTGGTTGACATCTGTTAGAAAACTATTCCTGCCTGCACATTGTGTGTGTGTGTGTGTGTGTGTGTGTATACACATATAATGCAATGAAAAGGATGTATGACAATCACAATTCTCTTGGATGAGAAAAATCTTACTACACATTTTTGGCAAATCAAGGAATTTAAAAATGTATTATACATACATTAGCTTTCTTAGCCTCATGTGTATAGACTCTGGGAAGGATGAAGCAAAAATGTTAAAGCTACCTATTTTTCTGCTCGTGAAACTAGCTGGAGTAGCAAAACTGATGCCCACTTGGGAAAGATCTCATTCACAGTGAACAGAAGACTATTTGTATATTATGGCCCTTTAGTCTTTCTTTCTCATCCATCCTTTGTTTCCTTTCATTTGTGAAACGGTGAGAGAATGATGAAGCAAATGTTTCAAAGTCTGCATTTATCTCCGTACCCATCTTTCCAGGCGAGCTGAGCAAACAGGTTCACCTTTTTCTGATTTGTAACAGAAACCTTGAACAAATTGTAACCAGAATACAAAAAAGGAAGCCATCCAGCTTCCCTCTCTCTCCTCCTCCTCCTCCTCCCAGTCAGCTTTTTGGAAGATTTTTTTGAATAATCAGGAAATTCCAGCGAGACAGATTGCATAGACCAGGCCGGGATTGCCATGGCAACCATAGGCAAGGACCCGGAGAGTCAGGTAACCAAATTACAGTGGAATACAAGCAGCTTCACACAAATCTTGAGTTCGTGGGGAGGAGTGGGGAGCTGGGTGTTTTGCTTTGTGTTTTTAGCTATGCAATTTGTGAAGAAATTGCTCTTTGGACTCAGTGTGTTGTCATGAAGTTGAAGCTTGGAAAGTGAGGCTTCCATTTGCAGCACCGAAACAGCTTTTTACATTATGGAAGCTAGTTTTAAACCTTCGCATTCCAGACATGAGGCTCGAATAATACAGTCTGGAGCTGCTTTATGCCCTTGAACATTTGGCCTTAAGGAATTAAAACTGATTCCAAATTATATAGTATATTTTTGCAAGTTTCTAACCCCCCTCTCCCCAATGTATTTTCCTATCTTTTCTGCTTTTCCTTATTCAAAATGACTTTTCTTTCAGGTCTCCATTCCCCTTTTTTATATATCAACAAAACCTGATTCTTGGCTGAATATGAAGATGGGAGACATAAATGGAAAAGCAGAAATGTTAAGAAGGAAGACAGAAATCTTGCAGCAGAGAAACAATTGAAAAAGCTTAGGCATGAAATGATTACCGAATGCTCACGGAAAGAATAGCTCAGACATATTCCAGATTTTTCATTTACACACGGTTGTATTCAGGTGTTTTTGTATCCTGGAATCAGCCCTTGCCTCCTCTGAACAAAATGGACTACAGGCAGCCCTCAAGTTATGAACAAGATAGGTTCTGTAGGTTTGTTCTTAAGCTGAATTTGTTTGTAAGTCAGAACAGGTACATTTTAAAGTGTAACTCCAACTCCAACAACTCCATGGTGGTGCAATGCTTTAAACCCTTGTGCCGGTTGAACTGCTGATCGAAGGCTGGCAGTTCAAATCTGCGAGACAGGGTGAGTTTCCATCTGTCAGCCCCAGCTTCTCATGCAGGAACATGAGAGAAGCCTCTCAAAGGATGGTATAACATCTGGGTGTCCCCTGAGCAATGTCTTTGGAGGCAGGTAATTCTCTTACACCAGAAGCAACTTACTGTATGTTCTCAATTCTCTTCTGACACCATAAAAAACCCAAATTATATGTGTATATTAGCTTTGGACACCATAGGGAAGGGTTAACATCCCTGTGGTCTTTGTTTTGCTGTCAGAAGATTTCACCTTACTTTCTGTCCCTGTGATAATTGGATTTTGATAAATGTGGCTTGTTGTGGAAACAAGGATTGGTGATAAAGTTTCGGCGGAGATACCCTGATAACTCTTTCAGGAGTGAATTCCCAAGAGGTCTATTTCTCTCATTTCCTGTTGTCTCACCTCAATTTGTAACTGTGAGTCGCTTGTAAATCAGATGTTTGTAACTCGGGACTGTCTGTATATGGCTTCAGTATTTAGCTTTTACAGTTAATATGGAAACGAAGCTGACATGGGAGACATGCTTCTATACTCCTTTGCGGCATAGAAAACACTACATAGAAAACTGGTCTTGATTTATCAGTAATTAATAACTTCCTTGGTCTATTATGAATTTTTTTTAACAGTAACTATAGCACCTTGATGGGGATAATCTGAAAAGCTACCAATAGGACAGTTCTATAGATATATATTCACACCTCAAGTTTTAATCTGCATTATATTTATTTATTTACTGTATTTGTATACTGTCTTTCAAAACATAGGCGACTCAAGGTGGTTAACGGCAAAATTCAATGCTTACAATGTCACAAATACAATTAATAACATAAAATATAATAAAAACTAAACAAATCAATAAAATATAAATTCATAGTGTCCTCTTGTTAAAAACATTGTCCGAACTCATTGTCTAGTCATTCCATTTTCCTGTGTCAGTTACTCTGCATTTGCAAACACGTGTTCAAAAAGCCACATCTTGACTTTTTTTCCAGAATGTTAAAAGGGAGGTGGCCCATCTAATATCTAGAGGGAGGGTGTTCCACAGCCTTAAGCAACTGAGGGGGAAATGGAAGGGACCCGAGACTGTTAGAAATTGTGAGAGTTGAAGTCCAAAACACCTGGAGGGCCTAAGTTTGCCCATGCCTGATCTAGACACTTCTGGTTCCAAGCATTTTAGATAAGGAATATGTGTACAAATTTTCCTCATCAATCAACCTATGAGGTGAGAGATGAGAATTTGTGAGTAACTGTAAAGACAAAGCATTTATATCCCAACTGAGCACATCAAGCATATGAAAAACAGAGCAAACTTACAGATGCCCAGTTTAGATAGTAAACACTAGATTATGGATGCTAGAAGGATTGCTGCTGGACCCTTCCTGCTGCCGTTTGATTCCAGGACTCCCGTGGATACCAAAATCCATGCATACTCAAGTCCTGTTATAGGCAACAGCATAATAAATGGCATTCTTTATTTAAAAGAGCAAACAGCTCAACCAAAGAGCTTGACGATCTTTGAAATGGCAGGAAGCTACAGCAGGGTATGCCTAGTGCTCAGCATGTGAGAAAATCAAGCTTCATGCTTACTTTTTTTCCCCTGAATATTTTTGAGCTGTAGTTGATCTAATGCAGGCATGAGCAAACTTCAGTCCTCTAGGTGTTTTGGACTCTGACTCCCACAATTCCTAACACCCTCAGGCCCTTTCCTTTTCCACTTGTTGGAAGTTTTGTGATTATAAAGCAAGCTTAAGTGGCTGAAGGGGAAAAGGAAGGGGTGTGAGGCTGCTAGGAATTGTGGGAGTCGGAGTCCAAAACACCTGGAGGGCTGAAGTTTGCCCATGGCTGGTCTAATCTGTGGATGCAGAACCCATGGATAGAGAGGGCTGAGGGCATCTCTAATCACGAGGTCTAGAAACTTACTTGGTAATGATGATGGTCACTGTAACTTCAGTACTGCATTTGTGCTGAAGCTTATTTTGAGAGGTTTCAAAGCCAAGCCCTATGCGGAGTGGCTTTGGGACATGGTAGCCATTAGGCCTGGGTAACAACGGAAAAATTTGTTTCTAAAATCGATTCGTTTTTTGGGCGGTTTTTGTGTTTCGATTTTTAAAAGAATTCCGAAATTTTTCTGTAAAAAAGTTCGATATTTATGAAATTTCGTAATTTGTAAAATAATTACAAAACAATTACGAAACAATTACGAATCGATTCGTTAATGGCGGACGCGACCGCGCAATACGCTAAAAAACCTCCAAATGGGACAGGGGGAACTTCTGAAGCTTCCCTCTCCCTCTGTTGTTGACTGTTGGTGTGATATTTATAATTTTTTTTCACTGATTAAACAAACAACAACTATACAACTTGCCCCAGACATGCGGAAATAATAACGAAACGATTTCAAAACAATAACGAAACGAATACAAAACGAATCCGAAGCAATTACGAAACGAATTTAAAAATTCGTTTCGTTTTTTAGATGCTCCTGAATGGTTCGTTATCGCTTCGTTATAAAAAAAAATAACGAATTTTTAACGAATTACGAAATTACGAAACGAAACCGCCCAGCCCTAGTAGCCATGTTTCAATATTTGAAGGTGCATCACATTGAGGAAAGGGCAGGCTTGTTCCTTGCTGCTCTGAAGATCAGGATGCAGAGCAATAGATTCAAATTGCAGCAAAGAGGATTCCACGTAAACATGAGGCACAATTTCCTGATGGTGAGAGCTCTTCTGTGAGAGTGGTGGCATCTCTTTCTCTGGAGGTTTTTAAGCAGAGGCTGGGTGGCCATCTCTCAGGGTTGCTTTGGTGTTTTCCTGCCTGGCAGTGGGTTGGACTGGAGGACCTTTGTGGTCTCTTACAAGTCTATTATTTTATTAGTTGCACCCGCCATGTATTGCTGTGGCCAACCTTCCCTCTTCTTTCTCTCCTCCTTTCTTTCTCTCCTCCTTTCTTTTTTCCTTCCTTCCTTCCTTCCTTCCTTCCTTCCTTCCTTCCTTCCTTCCTTCCGTCTGTCCTTCCTTCCTTCCTTCCTTCCTTCCTTCCTTCCTTCCTTCCTTCCTTCCTTCCCTTTTTTCTTTCCTTCTCTTCTTCCCTTCCTCTTTCTTTCCTTTCTTTCTTCTCTACCTCTTTCTTTCCTTCTTTCATTTGCTCTTTGCTTCCATCCTTCCTTCTCTCTTTCCTTCTTTTCATCCCTCCCTCTTTCCCTCCTTATTTCCTTCTCTCCTTCCCTTCCCTTCCCTTCCCTTCCCTTCCTCTTTTCTTCCCTGGTAGTGGACAAGTCTCCCCGCCCCCCCCTCACTGGACTCACCATTGTACTGTCCGTTCCTAGCTCCTGCTCTGACAGGAAGAAGGACGATGGTTGATGGTGCCTCTTGTGCTTGCTGTGTAATCACACAGGAGGGGACAGGGCTGTGGAATTTGTTTGCATGCATGCGCCGTGTCATCTTCTATCTTTTTTGGATTTTAAAGTTTTTTTCACTTTTTTTAGTGATGTCACTCCTTGGTGTAGTAGAAGTCTTGTGGCCAAATTTGGTGTCATTTCGTCCAGTGGTTTTTGAGTTATGTGTGTCCCACAAACTAACATTATATATATATATATACACACACACACACATATATATAGAGAGAGAGATGTGTGACTACAAAAAGTCAAGTTGACCCCAATTTAGGAGGCAACCCCTGGCAGTGAGACCAGGAAGAAGCCTGTTGGCAGAAACTCAGACAAGTGATAAGTCTGAGCTGCCCCTTTCCTGTGAGTCCCTGCTGTGGCAAGCATACAGATCAGCCCCAGTTAAAATAATCCAGCAGCAAGGTGAGAAGGTGATTTCAGCCAAGGAAGATTTCATTATCTGCAGATAAGATCCTAGCTTGTGATACATTCACAAAGAAGCTAGAATAACAAATATGGATACAGCCTCCTCTTATATACACACAATAATTTCAAATTTCCCACTGCAGCAACATCAGCTGTAGCAAAGCTCATTCGACGAGTCTCCCAAGTCTGACCAATCACAGAAAGGGGGCTTTGCTGAGCAGTCGGCTTGTGAAAAGACAAAGGGCGTTGAGTGGAGGTGAATGGGTTTCCCTTTATTCAACAGGAAAAATAATAAAATGATTGAGGGCACTTAGCCCTACCCAGGAAAAGTTTATGTGCAGGATGGTCATGGAAGAGCCCTACTGGGGCGGGGGGGGGGGGGGGGGGGGCTGACCCAGTGGTTCTGGATCATGGTACTCGAAACAGGATATATTGGCACAATCATGCAAATGGCAGAGGAGAGGGGCCTAGAAAAAGACAATCAGGTTTCCTTCTGTGACAAGAGGTCCCGCACACAAAGGCGCATTGTGAAGAGTAGCTACTTCTCCTGAGGTAGGCAGGAAAAGGCAATGGGCCATCTTGTCCTGTCCGTTGGGCTATTGTGTTACATATGTCCAGATAATGTCTGTAAGATGGGTGGGGCTGGGAATTGATTGAGGAAATCCCCAGCTTGGAGTCTCTTCTCGCAGGCTGTATGATCATATGGGATGTAGGACTTCCTTTTGGGGTCAGCAATACAGTTTCCCATTCAGGTAAAGAAAGAGGAAATCTCAAAAGCACAAAATATATTATTAACAAAACATAGGAACACATAGGAAAAGGCAGGGAATTTTTAAGGCATTTTTCATGCACATAAGAGAAATAGTTTTTCCAAGTACACACAGATATCCAAGCCAGGCTCCCTTTTATGCAGACCATAGCATGAGAAGGGGGGGGGGACCCCATAGAAATAATACAATTCCATACTGGGGAAAGGGAAGCATGCAGAATGGGCTTTTAGGGGGACTTTGGAACAAAAAAGCAGGAAGGTTACACATTGCAAGGATGGGAATGGATAAGGAAAACAACTTTAGAATGTATGATTATTCAGCAGGCAAAGAGTCATTATTCCAGTGAGCTTAAAACAAGCTATAACAAAACCGCTGTTGAAAAAACCATCACTGGACCCCACTCAATTCGACAACTATTGGCCAGTTTCCAATCTCCCCTTCTTGGGCAAAGTCATGGAACGTGTGGTGGCCTCACAACTCCAGGTATTCTTGGTAGACACGGATTATCTATGATCGGCAGCGATCACCAGGTCTGGCTTTAGGCGGGACATGGTACCAGAGATCAGAAGCTTGGTCAGGCTTGAGTGGATGATCCTGCTGCCGGGAGCTTTCGAGAACAGGGGGATTGTGTCCCTCGTTGGTGCTCCTGACGTGCTGCTCAGGCGGCCATTGCGATTATTCCATCGTACCACTGGTATCCTCTCTGGTATCTTCCTCGCAGGTATGGGCCATGTCGAGGTTAGCTGTTT